CATTTGGGACAGCGCTTATTTGGTTGAACTGCTACCTCTCAGAAGGTTTGGGAAATGTTTGGAATGTAGTAGGAGACCTAAGGGACCACCCACTAGTAAAATCCCAGAGGAAAGCCTTCCAAAAACAACAGGGGTCAAAATGAGGGTCAGCTCCTCCCTTGCTCCACATCCTGGCCAGGGCTGAGCTGGCAGAACAGCCACCTTGTTCAACTCTGCTTGATCTTACATGCATTCCTGAGTGTCACATTGGGCCTGAGCCTTCGAAATAAATGTTAGCACAGTGTGCAATGTTTGGAGGTGACAGAAAACACTTGGTCATGACAGAGAGAATAGCCACAAAGACCAGACTAGAGGAAATACCCCCAGAGCTCAACCCAGCAGGCCTTCTCTCTAATGCTGCTAGCAAACCACGAGAGCAGCCGCAGACAGAGTTCTACACAGTCCACATTTTTACTTCCTGGCCTTTTAGGCAGATGGTTGTGAAAATACATTGGTGGATTGGAGACATCTTTCTATGGTTTTCAAATCAAAGCTGCTTCTATGCTGCCTTGTTATTGTTTTCTCAGGATTCTTCACTGTTTAAAATTAAAATCTAGTTATAAAGCAAGGGAGATAGGGAGATGCTCACTTCTCTACAGATACTTCCTGCTACCCCCAGCTTTTCTTCTTAGAGGAAGGATGAATCCAGATCATCAGCTCAGCACTAAAGGATGCACCAAAGCAGTTTGTCATCCCTGTAAAAAGCCTCTAGAGGAGATTTCTGAACACTGGAAGACACCAACTCTCTTTGCAATTAGCTAAGAGGAATTGGGTGCTCCCCAACAGGACATTCTTCTGACTATCCACCTTCAGAATCATATCTTTGAAAAACAAATATATGAGTGGTATGTGGCCCCCCTGTTTTGTTTCTAATGTCTGTTAAGTAGTGGTCTGATTAGATAATGGCCTTTTTTTTTTTTAGTTTTTTTGTTTGTTTTGAGTTTTGTTTTTGTTTTTGTTTTTGAGACAGGTTCTTGCTATGCAGTTTAGGCTGGCCTTGAACTCACTGTGTAGTCCAGGCAGGCCTCAAACTCAAGGTGATCCTCCTGCCTCTGCCTTCCAAGTGATGGGATTACAGGTGTGTGCCACCAGCCCCAGCAATAATGGCATTTTTTTTTCAGCCAGGGAGATGAGCCCATCTCTGAGTTTTGCCAATGCCTGTTATTTAGTTTGCTGCTGAGCTCATAGGAAACCTTTTAACCCTCCAAGAGACCCTCTGGAAGAGTGAAGCACAAACTGCTTTGTCCAAAAGCCACACACTGGAGCCAGTGCTGGTAGATCCTGCTGTTTTACATGACTGTGGCCTCCAACCTGGGGTTTTCTCTTTTTCATTCCTGAAAATAAGGCAGCAGCATATGGTCCCAAATCATTCTCCTAAGACAACTTTCTACATGGATACCTGGAGAGTCCAAACACCCTCCACCCAGGAGGCATTTATGATTTACTCCACACTCCCTGCTCTAGTTTGCTGCAAACCTATCTGCAGACCTATCTGTAAAGAATGATGCACATACTATTACTCTTTGTCTTTTGTGAAAAATGAATGTAAGCTCTTGATTTACTGTGGCTTGATCACCCTACTCTACCAGGTCAACAGATTATTGGGCTTTGTGGTATCCTTGTCCATCATGTTTTATGGCTACAGCCAGTCCAATCTTGGCTGGGGAGCTGAGAGTGGAATTTTAACTATGGATTTCCTTGTGTTTAATAGGCTAAAGTCAAAAGGCCACATTCTGCCTTGAGATACACATGACCAACTTCCAACTGGAGTTACTCATGGGTATCTGAGTTTAACTAAAGTACTCCAGCTCTTGGGCACTTTTAAATAACATACTTTTTTTCTTTTTAAATCTTTTTTAATGTGCATCCAGGAGGGTGAAACAGCATGAGCAAATTAATCAAAATTATTCATTCCTTTGGAGGAAATTTTTGGTATTTAAGGAAACAGAGCCATTTGGACATTTTAATCTCTAGTCCTGCTCATCTATTCCATCTTTATATAGACTAACCACTGAGCCTCTTCAAGCTTATCTTGCAGGGCTCATTAGCCTAGACTCATCCTAATAGTTAGGGGCAGCTGTAATGCAGTAGAACACAATAGACCTGAACTTGGGAAAAGCAAGTTCAAATTCCAGCTCCAATACTGGTTGTGTGGACTTGGGCAAGTCACTTAGTCTTTACCACTATCTAATCTTTTGTAAACTGATGACTTTGCAAAGGTATTGTGTGAATTCAGTAAACATTGAGTTTTAAATTTGGAGTTTTTTCTCAAAAGTACTTTGTTGCACAAGCAAAAAAAAAAAAATTTTAATGCCCAAAAATGAGGGAGATAGTAAGGAGAAACTTACAATCAAACAATGGTAATGGAAGTATAAAAATAGTACAAATCCTTTGGAAAGCAACCAAGGTCAAACATTAAAAAGTGTTGGAAGGAAAGAGAATGTAGTTTTGTACAATAGTCAGTAGACAAGAACCAGAATATGTATTGGATAGGATGATAAGAACTTTTGATCCTCTTTGGATACTTAATATACATATAGATGGCACACAGTATATACTAAATGGATTTTTTAAAAGTGTCATACCTTAGCTCATAATCATCTGGAACATGCTGCTCAACTACCTTTCCAATGAATCAAAACTTTACCTTAATTAGCTCTGCAAAAGGGTTTTGAAATATTTTTCCCAGTTGTTTTATCCTCTTTTTTTATCCAGCTATCTGTAAGATGATAGATATTCAGGCCAGTACATTTGGCATCTGGTCAAATAGCAAAAGCTTGGATTTAGCCATTGAATGTCATGAGGCACAACATCAAAGGAATGTTCAAATGTTGATCCCTACATACAGCATAGCTGATGACATTTGATTCTCAAGAATGTTGAGCCTCTGGTGATAAATGTCTGAGGCAGGATAGCCAATGTATAGGTCTCCATCAACAGAAGAATGGGTGAGCCAGGCAAGCCAGGGATGGGGACTTTGTGTTCTAAGAGTAGATGGGCATTTTCAGAGGAAGCTCATCAGCACAGAGTAGTGAATTATAAGTAAGAAGGGGGATGCAATAAAGAAAGCCCTGGTAATTTACAAAAATAGAATGAAGCATGCAAAATAGGCAGCCACATGTATATTTGCCTTTCTAATCACTGGAAGGAATATTTGCCTTTTTTTTTCTCTGTGCATGCATGCATGCGTGTGAGTGTGTGTGTGTGTGTGTGTGTGTGTGTGTATGTTACTAAGGATTGCGTTTGAGGCCTTTGCGCTGAGCTACATCCTCAACCCCTTTTTATTTTTTTATTTTGAGACAGAGTCTTACTAAATCCCTAAATTGCAGAGACTGGTCTTGAACTTACAATACTCTTCCCTCAGCCTCTCAGTGTGCTGGGATTACAGGCATGTGGCCACCACATCCAGCCATTTATTGTCTTCTGATGAAAGACAACTAGAGCAGTTTTCTTCTATGGTAATATTACACAATAATCTTACATTTCAAGCATGTCTTATAGGTCTCTCTGGATTAATTATGAGCAGAGCAACTTACTCACACAGTAAGCTTGTTCACCCAGGAAAGGGAATATAGTCCATATATGGGCAACCTACATAGGAAACAAATTTTACACAAGGAGAAATAATCTCTATGGCAGAAATTAAATCAGTTCTTGAATTTCAAATGAAAGTGTTTCTTCACATCTGAGTTCACTTAAAGAGCAAAAGACTAAACATGTACCTCAATTACAGGAAATTAAAAGCCCATGGAAGGCCCAAGAAACCATCAAAGGTTAGAAATGAAAGGTAATTTAAAAATCTAATACACATACACATGCACATGTACACACACACACATGCACATACACACATACATACACTTTATAGATGAAAAGATAGCTCAAAGAGTAGGATTTTTTTCTGGATCACACACCAGTAGAGCTAGGATTCAAAACCAGGCCTTTTGGCTCTTGTTTTAATACTCCTAAAACATTACAGGGGTTACAAACTGCAAAACCCTGACCAATACTATGCAACAGATATTCAAGAATTAAGGTAGCACAACACAAAGGACTCTGAAGGCAGACTGGAGTTTAAATCCTGACTTAGTACTTGCTAGTGTGCAGCCTTGGACAAGGCAACTAAAGACTCTGAACCTCAGGTTCATCTATGAAGCAAAGGTCATCAACCCTGTTCCAGGGTTTGGTGGTGAGAATTAAATGATATACTGCATGTAAAGTGCAGGTCAGGGATCCTGGCATACTACAGAGGGCCAATGAGCAGTGTCTACCACTACTACCATTCTCAGAACCCAACCAAAAGCCCCGAACTTTCAACTTCAGCCTGGAGACAAGAGTATGGTTCAAGCAATTCCTTTTCTTGACAAATGCTCTATGGACATTGCTGTTCTCAGCTGTGCCCAGCCAGAATACATCTAATTCAATCTGGACCATTTAATGCTTGGTAATACTAATCTCATCAGTTGTTATTTTCAGTCTCTAGTTTACCGAAACAAGCCATTTTAGAGATTACTGACTTTAAACCTAAACTGCCAATAAAATGGAGTTATCTCGAAAACACCCAGCTCCTTCTGAGGGAATGTCAATATAAACATACTCAACCTAAGGGCGTGGCCATTGGCTTGGATGCCAGCTCAATTGTAAACTCACTTAACGCTCTTTTGGAGGATGAATCTCTCTGTGCGCTTACTGTCCTAGCCACCCTGCCGTCCACTAGGTCTGAATGTCCTTTTAGAGGGAACTTGATCCTCCTGTTTCACTTTTGGTCTCTCTCCAAAGAAGCGAATGCGCTGGCATAGTTCTGCCATTTGTCAGCCAGAAGTCTGGCTACACATTTGCTCGTCAATCTAAACCTAACCTATTCTCATAGGAGCACATGGGGTTTCATGTAAATCAACCAGACGTTCTGTCATTCACCAGCAATATCTCCATAGTGTTCCACACCCATAGGCCTGCAAGAAATATTTCCCTTTGCCTGTGGAAGAAATATTCAAGTGAATGTGCTTTTTTTCAGGGATGGTGACACCAGAATGTTTTAAATCTGTTCATTACCACAACATGGATAATGGCATTTCTGCCAAAGACTTTTGCAAATGGGTGCAGTAATGCATGTCAGCACTTTCTGAAATTAGAGGTTTCACCCTGAGAGGTAAGTAATATCATGCATGGTTAACAAACGCAAACCCAAATTTTGGACCTGAGTGTTTCTGGTCAGGGTCACTGTCATTTCCAACAGACTCTGTTTTGGAGAGTTCATTAATGTTGTTTCTTCTCTCTTGGGATTTAATATCCAGGTGAGTTTGACTCCAAGGTTTGTAAAAGGGCAGATCTTTATTAACATGCTTTATTGTGATTTTCCTACATTTATATACACACATGGTTTTGTTAGCTGTATTTCAAAAATCTGCTATGGTTTAAGGACAGTATTTCATAGACATACTAGTTTGTTACTTAGTAAAATGTTTTAATAACCAGTTGAATAGTCTCTTGTTAAGATCTTTGTTTCTGATTGTAGTAATTGTTAATATTTTCTAAAAATCAGTGATAAGATTTCAGCCTTCATTAATTCTTTTGGCATTTTCAAGAGACACAAAGGGACTAAGGAACTGAGAATTGAAACAAGAAAAATAAATATCAGTTCTCATTGATATGTGTATAACATCAGGCCAGTTAACATCAGTGTTTCTGTATTGTGCAATGGTTTTTTAATGTAGAGATGATACATGAGAATCACGGAGAGAATGGAGAGGGAGGGACTTCTGATCCAGGTTATCTACAAAGAGCACATTTTATTCCTGTAAGTAGCTGAAATGCCTGGTGTCATTACTATTCACTGTGAGAACTGTAAGTCTGACCACAAGAGCTGTGTTAAAAAAAAAAAATCCAACATCTGTGAAAGGTTATTCATCCAAATAATGTATTCTCTAAAATTAAAGACTCACAGATAGAGCCATATTGTATTGGCTCTCAAAAATGTCTAAAAATGGACAGAATATAGATTCTAGTCAGAGAGAAATCGTTTTCCTTTACTGGATTCTGAACAGGTGCAGCAGATCATAAAGTTTTTTTAATACTTAATTTCAACTACAGAGTCACTTGGTCATAGTATAAATATTAGTGTCTACCTAAGTTACAACTGGGGCCTCAGTAAAACGCAGTAGGGTGCTTTCCTCACAGTTTTCTCTTGGTCCCCAGCAGCCTTTACCTGCTACCTGACTTACGCCCTCTCGTGTTTCTGTGATGAAGTACAGTGTCTAAAGTTCAATTTGCAAGCAAAATAATAACTGCAATCTCTCAGTATTTTCCCCAGATACTATGCACTAAAACAAACTTACCACTAGATGTTTTGCCCTGAGCTCTAGGTGGCAGTGAGGATTTTATATCTTAGAGTCTCAAACTTAGTTGAATCTTGTATTCTGATTTCAGATCTCCAAAAGGAGAATTTACTTCTAATCTGATTAGGTTCCTTTTCTGGCTTTAAATCATTGTATTCTAATTTACTTTTATTGTGATATGGAGAAGGGGAAAAGATACTTTAATGAACTAAAGCAGGCATTTCTTTGATATATTTCCCAGGGCTGGAACTTACACTTTGATTCTACTAAGTTACCCAAGAGGTTCAAGGTTTTTTGACTCAAGAAAAAAGCGATTAAATTTTTAATGGCCTTATGGAAACCAGAGGCATATTTGCAATCGCAGAAGCCCTTCATCAAACCAGGAGAAATAGCCACCTGGGAAATGTATTGCTTATGAGCACTTTTTCTTTACGGAGAAGAAAACACTCGCAACACTGTCAGCTGCTATCATGTCCCTTTGAACATCAGCCACGGTGGGTTGTGACAGCTAACTATAGGCCAAGGTCATTTGGGGATCCACCCAGCCCACTCACAGGGATGGCACCAAACTAGCCACCACTTGTGGGTCTGCAGATCCAGCCAGTCCAGCCCAGATTGGTATTTTTGGGTGGAGTTCCTGAAACAAGGCCCCTGATGGTCCTTCATGCTGCTGGCATTCAGGTTTACACTTAAACTATTCTGAACCATTATTTGCTTTCTGCACTGATGACTTCTCTCCTATCTACCTCTTTTGAGACTCCACTGCAGGGTCACAGATTTGTCCAATTGTGATATAAAAATGAATCTTTTGTTTAACCACAGAGTTCACCCACTTGTTCAGATATGTTCCATCAAATTACTTCAAATACGTGAGCAGGCAACCCCAGGCTTACTTAGGCTTCTTCTTTTCTTCGTTTACCCTATAACCTCTCGCCACTGCCAGACCCTGTCACTCAGATCGGCATGGAGCTGTTGCTGTCCTCTCCTCTTCCATGTACACTGTCATTGCTGTTCATCCATTCTGCCCAGGCTGCTGTAATTAACTTCTTAACCGACCTCCTGCCCTCCAAGTCACTGACATTCAAATAGGAGCTATCATACAGGATTATAAATCAGAGTGTTTCTCTCTAAAATGCTATAGCTGGGCATGGTGGCACATGCCTTAGAACCTCAGCATTGGGAGGCTGAAGCAGGAGGATTGGTGTGAGTTCAGTTAGCCTGAACTACAGAGCAAGACCCTGTCTCAATAAACCAAAATGAAATAAAATGTTTCAATGGTTCCCATTACCTATAAGATTTTCAAATTTTAAATTCCCTAATGTCTTAGTCCATTTTATGCTGCTGTGTCAGAATGCCACAGACTGGGTACTTTACAATGAGCAGAAATGTATTGGTTTACAGTTGTGGAGACGGAGGAGTCCACAGTCAGGGGGCCAGAATCTGGTGAGAACCTCCTTGCTGTGTCATCCATGATGGAAGAGCAAGAGAGGGTGAGAGAGAGGCAAAAAGGAACCAAACCTGTCCTTTGATAAGTAAAAGAACTGTAAAGAACCCAACCCTGCAATGATGGCCTTAGGGAGGACACAGCCATTGGGGCTCAATCTCCTCCTAACGGTCCCCCTGCTTAGTATGGTTACAATGGTACAGTGCTAAGTTACACAGGAGAATTCTGGAGGCCACATTCAGGTCACAGCGCACAGACTCATTTTCAACATTACCTGAGGTCTGGAGATTCTGCTCACTCTCATCTCTTACCATTCCCTTCACATCCTCTTTCCACCCTTTCCTCATCACATAAAAGTACCGTATGCTTTGACACAACTAAGTGTTTACTGTTCTCGAAGACCATTATGCCTCTTCGGGCATGTAAATCTGACAAATGATGAGTCACGTTTTTTTCAAGATGCATTTTGAGCATCACTTTTTCTTTTCCTTTTGGAAGCACTGGGAATTGAACGCGTCATTTGCACTAAACTAAATCCCCATACCTACGTCCCTATTTATTAATCTATTTATTTAGAGTCAGGGTCTCACTGAGTTGCCTAGGTTGGGGCTGACCTGGGGGTCTTCCTGCCTCAGCACCCCATAGTGCTGGTCTTATGTGTGTGCACCTCCATGCCCAGTTGATCATTATTTTTTTTGTGGAATTTTCTTGACAGACCACATAGCTTTTACAAATATATACAATCCCTCCATTTATGGTATTCTCTATGCCACTGTACACTTAGTTCTTTCTTATATTACTAAACACACACACACACACACACACACACACACATTTTGGACTCTTCCATTTGGCTATGAGACTCTTAATCTTGATTTTTGTCTCACAACATTGAGAACTGTACCTGAACTAAAGTCGTAAATTTTGTTCTATTAATAAAAATATAAATCTCATAAACAAATCAGCCAGTAGAACAGAAAAAGATTTAAATTCAATTCCTGCTTTGACTTATATCTAAACAACATTTAACTGACCAAGTTTCAAGCTAGGTTGTAGTCTGAGCCCACATATCTCCACTTTAGGAAAATTGATATATCTGCCAAAAGATATACTAGATAAGTCTTGAGTATCAGATAAAAAGAGGTAGGAGCAAAGACCGGCTGAGCTGGGGCTTGCTGCCGCATGCAAATGGTCCACACCTGGAAGACTTTGAAAACAAAGGGGCTATTAAAATTGAGAGAAATGCCATATGTGGAATGTTTCTATCTAGACATCTTCCCAAATCTACATGCACCTATAGGTGGGGCTTCTGAGAGGTGACTAGGGAGCTAAGTTCCTGGTGAGTTTGTAGTTGAATGTGACTTGGGTCACTGGGGGAAATGGCCTGGCAGGGTCTCCCTCCCTCCGCCTTGGATTGCTCCCTCTGCTTCCTAACTGCCATGCCCCTCACCACGTCACTTGCCTTGGAACTATCTGTACTCTCTCCACATGTATCCAAATTCCCAACTTGCATGTAGGCTTAACTTGGGAAAGATGACTGAGATTAATAACCAGCACAGTCCCTACCTTTACCTTTCCTGGTAAGTCATTCCCAGCCCTTTTCATCAGAGGCATTCAATAGGCAAAGGGTTGGCTTGGATATGCAGGAATAGGAACCGGGATGGTACCCTTGAACAGGGTGTCCATGGTGCCCTACACAGTCATCATTATCTCAGCATGTACTGCCTTGATAGCAGTGAGCAGAATCTGGCTTTTCATTAGATTTACCAGTATAGTGTTGTGGGTTTTGTTTGTTTTAACAGTGATCATTTTTTAGTTCACAATTTTGTGTGTTGGTGATTTGGACTGGGATCAACTGAGCAGTTCTTCTGTAGGTCTTTTGGGCCAGATGCTTGGTCTAGGCCAGTGGTGACAAACCCAGGGCACGAGTGCCACAGTGGGCTGTCTGTAACATTGAAAGCTCTAAAATGTTCGCCATCACTGTTCTAAGCTGAGCCTCACTCATAGGCCTGATGGTTAGCATTCTCCTCTGTGTGGCCTTTCTAATGGGGGATAATTTGAGTATATTTTCATGGTGGCCCTATGGATCTGGTACAGCAGGAATTGGCAAGCCTTAGTGTCCAAGTGGTTTTCAAGTCCCTACTTGTACTGTGCTGGCTAGTATCTCTATGGTCAAATTAAGATGTCTTATGTACATGTACAGATTCCCCACGATGAATGTAATCATTATGTATTACAAACATGTACTAATAAAAAATGTCAGAAACAAAAAAACCCAGAATAAACTAAAGTTTTAGAAATTGGAAAAAAAAAAGTCACACAGTCAAACCCATAATCCGGGAATGGGGAAATAGACCTCTTAGGAAGTCA